AAAAGAAAAAGGTTAAGCATAACTTATACAAGGTAAAATAGACAATAAACCACTGGGCTTTAGTCAGTATTCTGATGCAGTATCTGCACAGTGACCTCAGTGAGATAGCATCCAATCAGGCCCACAACAATAGACAATCTCCAAGTAGAAGCTCAATAAACTATCTTTCTTTTCCTTTTTCTATTCAAATGGCACATTTTCCTGGAAATTACAAAGAGTTTCATTTGAAATTTACCCCACCTAGCAGCAACACTTTAAAATCTTTCACCATATTTGTTTATAGAACTATTTCTAAAATGTATTTTGTGTTTATCATGTATTCCCTCCTTTCAAAATGCAAGTATATGCGACATCATTAAATTCATTGGCTTATAACTCCTTGTCATCACTGTGCTGCAATACAGGCAGCTTTCTGGGGTTTTCCACAGGGCGACATGCTGTTATGCACACAAACTGCAGGCCTCTGATCTCCTCTCATTATATGCTCATCCAGTCCCATCTTTGATTGCTGGTGTAAATGTATCCTTCTAAAACATATTTATACAAGTTGATAAACAACATAAAATTATAGTACTGTCAATTTTAATTTGTGGTAGCTATGTTCTATAAAGTTGCTGCAAATATTGAATCAGTGAACTTAACCACTGATCCTTGGGAAACATAGAGCTAGGTACCTGTGAGTCTCAGGTCACAAAATTTTCATGAAATGATCAATAAATACCTTTTTTTTTTTTTTTTAATTTTTTCATTGTGATTTGGGTGACAGTTTACAGAGCAAATGCACTTTTCATACAGCAACTCACATACACTTTGTCTCATGACATTAATTACAATTCACCACAGTGAAGCAGCTCCCTTCTTACTTCCTCCCCATAGTTACCTCTTCCCTGTGTCCTTCCCTCCCATGCACTCCTGGCCCCCAACCTGTCTCTCTGTGCAAACACAGCTCTTCTATTCTCCCATGACCGATCTCTCCAAGGAGTGTATCCACCCGATGTAAATGTTCAGCTCATATGCCTGTCTTTTGTTTGGCTGGAAGCCACAGGAGTGGGTTCAGTTTCAGACCTAGTGGGCAACTAGGGGCCATAGTCTCTGTGGTTCCATCAGGCTCCATCAGACCAGCAAACCTGATCCTTTTTTTTCTTTAATTAATTTTGAGTTTTGTTCCACATTGTTCTCCCACTCTATCCAGAATCTCCTACAGAGATACTCCTCCAAGTGGTTAGCAGTGGTAGCTGGGCACCATCTAGTTCTTCTGGTTTCACATTTGTATAGGTTGAGGATGACATGGTGTACCAGTCACTTGGACTAATTGTTTCCATGTGTCTTTGGTTTTCTTCATTCTTCTTTGCTCTGGATGAGGAGAGATCCATTGTTGCTTCTAGGTGGCCGCTTGTAAGCTTTTAAGATTCCAGTCACTATTTGCCAAAGTAGGATGTGGAACAATGTTTTTTTTTTTTTTTTTGTGTGTGTGTGTGTGTGTATAGTATGTTATGCCAATTGAACTTGATATCCCCTGTGACTGTGGTCTCGAGCCTATAGGTCCAACTACTTGCTCCCTCTGGGTAGCTGGCTATGGCCAAGAAGTGGCTACAACCTTGCCACTTGTCAGCTCTACTATATACCTCAGAATTCTTACAGAACATACAAATACTCTTGTAGAAACACTGTCTGCCAACCCTATACCTGGTCTTGGCCACACTCCCCCCCTCATAGACTTACCTAATCATTCAGACTGTCCACCCATCTATCCACCCATATATCAATGTTTGTCATCACTGACAGTGCAGTACTGTATGTGCAACAGGGTTCATCTTTGTTGTCTGTACCTCCCACGCACCTCTCTATGTCTTCCTCTCCCTCAATGCCACCGTGTTGATCACTCACATTTGGTGTATTGTCCTTCTCTTCACCCAAATCAATACTTGTCTCTACCTATCTAACAGTTTCCCTTCCATCCCCTCCCCTCCCACCCCTGGTAACCAACAAAGAAAATTTCCTTCCATATATAAACCTTTCCTTGACTTTTTATAATAACAGACTAATAAAATATTTGTCCTTCTGGGATTGACTTATTTCACTCAGCATAATGTCCTCCAAGGTCATCCATGTTATGTAGTGTTTTGCAGATTCTACATTATTCTTTAGGGTTGCATAGTATTCCATTTTGTGTATGTACCATAGTTTGGTTATCCATTCCTCAGCTGATAGACACCTAGGTTGTTTCCATCTTTCCACTATTGTAAATAGTGCTGTGATGAACATGAGTATGCATATATCTGTTCTTGTCCTGCCTCTCACTTCTTTAGGATATTTACCTAGTAATGGGATTGCTGGGTCAAATGGCATTTCTAATTCCAACCTTTTAAGGAATCACCATACTGCTTTCCACAGTAGTTGTATCATTTTACAGTTACACCAGCAGTGTATGAGAGTCTCATCCTCCCTGCATCCTTGGCAACATTTGTTACTTTCTGTCTTGTTGAACTTTGCTACTAGTGCTGGGGCAAGATGTTATCTCATTGTTGTTTTGATTTGCATCTCTCTAATGGCTAATGATCGTGAGCATTTCTTCATGTTTGTTGGCTTCCTGAATATCATCTTTGGTGAAGTGTCTATTTATGTCTTCTGCCCATTTTTAATTGAATTATTTGTCTTTTTCTTATAAATAACTTTGTTTTATGTATGTTTCTGCTTAAAGACATCTTATTTAATATATATCATTGATTCATTATGACTGAATGCATGGCCAACAGCATTAAAACTCATGTATTTTCTCACATATTTTTATCATAGTCTTTTGTGCTTAGGAACCTGAGACAAGTCAGCCTGATGCTTTAGGGCCAGTTTAAACAGCAAAATTACGAACAAGAAGCACAACAATACAAAAAATATCACACTTGTATAGACTGTGAAAAGGACACTTGCTTATAGTATGAAAGCCAACACAAGAGGGCAGAGTGCCACCTTGTTTGACCTCATCTGGGACTATGTGCTCTGTGCATGTCTTTACATATTCAAAAAGGACTGAAAAGAGCTGTGAGTATTGACTTTTGGAGTCATAAATAAATTCTAGCAAGTAAGCAAATTTGCAAATACATAACCCATGATAATGAGGTTAATTGTATCTTAAGATAGGAAAGAACCTTAAAGATAAGCTTAGTCTTGTAGTACTTACAATGTAATATTGTTGTTGTTGTTGTTGTTTGCCGTCGAGTCGGCCCCAACTCATAGCGACCCCTCCTTGGGTTTCTGAGGCAGTATCACTACGGAAGTAGGATTGCCCAACCTTCCTTCCGAGGAGTGGCTGGTGGGTGAACTGCCAGCCTTCTGGTTAGCAGTCAAATGCCTTAGCCACTATGCTACCAGAGCTCCCACAATGGAATATTACTCAGCCATAAAAAGAAATGAAGTACTAACACATGCTACTGCATGGATGAACTTGAAAATATTATGTTGAGTGAAGTATGTCAATCATAGAAGAATGAATATTATATGATCTCATTTACATGAAATATCTAGTATAGCCAAATCAGTAGAAACCAAAGTGTATTTGTTGTTATGGGGGGGAGCTGGTGGCACAGTGGTTAGTATCTGTGCTGCTAACTGAAAGGTCATTTTAAACCCACCAGGAAGATGGTGCAATCTACTTCTGTAGTGATACTGCCTCGGAAACCCAAGGAGGGGTCGCTATGAGTCGGGTCTGACTCGACGGCAAACAACAACAACAACAAAGTTGTTCTGTGGGAGAAAGATGAGGCAGTCTGCTTCCGTAAACATTTATAGCCTTGGAAAACAAACCCATGGGGTGTTCTACTCTGACCTGCAGGGTCACTGTGCGTTGGAACTGACTAGATGGCAGTAGGTTTGGATTTTAGGGGGTGGAGGAAGGGAGAAAAGAGGAGACATTGTTTAGGAAGGATTGTGTTTCTATTTATGTTGTTGTTAGGTGCCGTCAAGTTGCTCCAACTCATAGCAACCCTATACACAACAGAATGAAACACTTCTTGGTCGTGTGCCAGCCTCACAATCCTTGCTATACCTGAGCCCATCATTGCAGCCATTGTGTCAATTCATCTCATTGAGGGTCTTCCCCTTTTTTGCTGACCCTCCACTTTTCCAAGCATGATATTCTTCTCCAGGGGATGCTTCCCTCGATAACATGACCAAAACAGGTGAGACAAAATCTGGCCATTTTTGCTTTCAAGGAGCATTCCAGCTGCACTTCTTCCAGGACAGATTTAGTGGCATAGTGTATAAGGCATTTAGCTGCTAACCAGAAGGCTGGTGATTAAAACCTACCAGCTGCTTCACAGGAGAAAGATGAGACAATCTACTTCTATAAAGATATAATGCAAGAACCACTGCCGTGGAGTTGAATCTGACTCATAGCGACCCCTCCTTGGGTTTCCGAGGCAGTATCACTATAGAAGTAGATTGCCCAACCTTCCTTCCAAGGAGTGGCTAGTGAGTTTGAACCACCAGCCTTCTGGTTAGCAGTCAAATGCCTTAGGCACTATGTCACCAGAGCTCCTTGCATAAAGATATACAGCCTTGGAAACCCAGTGGGGGTCACTATGAGTCAGAATAGACTCAATGGCAGTGGGTTCTGTTCATGGTGATGAAAATTTGCAATGAATGTTGGTGATGATTGCCCAATATTATTAATGTAATTGTTGTCACTAAACTGTGCATGTGAAAAATCGTGACTTGGCCGATGTTGTGTGAAATATATATTTATAACAATAAAAAAATGATGCAAAAAAAAATCATTTCAAGATAATAAAAGTCTATTTAGCTGAAAAAGAGAAAGATAATCTAGATTTGCCTTTTAACTTCTTACTATGAAAACTTAGGTTATGTACCCTTAATTTTTTCAAGTTTCAAGTGTTGGTAACACTTGTCAGAAACAGAATTTATTACTTTAAGAGTGCAACAAATTCCTCATAATCTTATAATTTGAGACCTTATCATATTCTGTACTCAAATCTTTAGCTTACCTCCAAATCCATCAGGCACATATGTTTTAAGCACAATATTGCAGAATATGGTTGGCAGTGATAATGGTTTATTTCCTTCATTCCTAAGGGAAATGTGCCTATAGCCTGCCTGGAGGCCATCCAGTGGGAGAATCCTTTGACCTATCAGCTTATTGTTGTCATCGTACACTGCTATTCTCAAGACAGCCAGGTCTGGGAGGATCACCTGCAAAGAAAGAACGGGGCTTTTCATTATTATTTTTTTATTGTGGTGAAAATATACACACCAAAACTATCATCGCATAACATCCACATTCACAATTCAAAGACACTGATTTTCATGTATGTCACCACTAGTGTTATCCTTTTCCAAAATATTCTAACACATTTAGCATAAAGTCAATGTCCCCCAAATAAAAACTTCCTCTTCTTTCCCTCTCCTTTCTGTCCCTGACTACCATGAATAATCTTTGGTTCTTAAATTTTTGCTTATTTCATATAAGTGAGATCATACAGTATTTATCCTTTTGTGGCTGACATTTTACTCAGTATATCATTGTCAAGGTTCACCCACATGGTGGCATACATCAGACCTTCATTTCTCTTTATAGCCATGTAATATTCCATTGTATATATTTACTGTATATATATTTTGTTTATCCAGTCATCATGGACATTTTGGTTGTTTTCACCTTTTGAATATTGTGAATAGATCTTCAATGAACACTAGTGTACATATGTCTGTTGTTGCTTTCCAGTCTCTTGGGTATATACCTAACAGTGGAATTGCTGGGCCAAATGGTAGTTCTATGTTCAACATTTTAAGGAACTGCCACACTGTTTTCCATAGTGGCTGTTCCATCTTACATTCCCATCAGTAATAGACAAGGGTTGCAATTTCTCCACAACCTAGTCAACATTTGATGTTTTCCTTTTTATTTTTGACCATTGCCATTCCAATGGCTGTGACATGAGAGCTCATTGTGGTTTTGATTTGCATCTCCCTAATAGCTATTGACTCGGAAGGAAGGTTGGGCAATCCTACTTCCGTAGTGATACTGCCTCGGAAACCCAAGGAGGGGTCGCTATGAGTCGGGGCCGACTCGACGGCACATAACAACAACAACAACAATAGCTATTGAATGGGAGCTCTGGTAGCATAGTGGCTAAGACACTTGACTGCTAACCAGACGGCTGGCGGTTCAAACCCACCAGCCACTCCTCGGAAGGAAGGTTGGGAAATCCTACTTCCGTAGTGATACTGCCTCGGAAACCCAAGGAGGGGTCGCTATGAGTCGGGTTTGACTCGACGGCACATAACAACAACAACAACAATAGCTATTGATACTGAACAAATTTTCATGTGCTTCTGGGCCACTTGAATTTCCTCTTTGGTGAACTATTTGTTCAGGTTCTTTGCTCACTTTTTGATTGGGCTGTTTGTCTTTCTGTTATTAAGTGGTAGAACTTGTATATATTTTTTGGATATTAGGTCTTTATCTGATATATATGCTTAAAATTTTTCTCCCACTCTGTAGGTTGTCTCTTTATTAATAAAGTCCTTTAATATATAAATTCACTGATTTTTATAATGCAGTTTCCTTGAACATTACCAATGTTGTTATTGTTATCGGATGACAATGAGTCATTCTGACTCATAGCAACCCCATGTGACAAAGTAGAACTGTCTGATAGAGTTTGCTTGGCTATAATCTTTATGGAAGCAGACTGCCAGATCACTCTCCCAAGGAGCTGCTGGGTGGGTGGGTTCAAACCACCAACCTTTTGGTTAGTAGCCATACACGTAACCATTGCATCAGCAGGATCATGCCCATCCTGTTCTTAAATACTCTTTTATAGTGAAAATAAACTCATGATCAATTTTCATTCCTAAAGTGTACTTATTGTATAAGGTTCAGCATCTGAATCAGTAAAAAAGATGATCAGAACAGATTTTCTGGAAATTATCTTATCAAAAATTTTAAATAGAATGGGTGTCCACCCTTTGTCGTTTTTCCCCATCCTTATGCATATTATGGGTAAGGAAACAGAGATTGTGAGAAATATAGCAACCTTCCTAATATTATAGATGGTCAATGATGGAGCTGGGCCTGGGAATTGGGTCCCCAAGTAATCCTGAGATTTGTATACTCCTTGTGCTACTTCTGTGTCTAGCTCTACTTGTTTTTAAGAACAAAGAAAGGATTTGTTTGTTCTTAAAGCTTTATGTATAAAAGATAATTTATATATAAATTTAGAATCTTCTTGCATTCCTCAGTTTTGAGCACATTTTGTGATATAAATACAGTAAGACAGGGCAGCTAGAAACACGGACACACATTGATCCCAAGATATATATCTACACCTGCCATCTCCAAATGGAATAAATGGGCATAAATTCTGAGGTCAAATGGCATAGTATGTAAAATAGCAACATAATGAGGGTAAATGTAATGTTCATTAATCAGGAATGCCTTTTTACTGGCTAAGAGCAACCAGGACGTCTTGGCTGATTTGAGGACTGTCTCTTAAGCCAGACAATGGGTCTTTTGCTTATTCACACCTGGAGGTTATAATTTAATGCCGACTACATAAAGTTGATGAGAAGAAATCAAGCTATAAGTTAGCCAAATCCACTCTATATGGAGTGGAAAGACTTGCCACTTTTATGAGATTAATGCAAAGGATAATATGACATGAAAGAAAAGAAAGTTAGAACCATTGATAGCAATGAAAAGCAATAGTGAAGGATTCAGAATTGGCATCTTGTTTCTGGGGCCAGTAATAATATAGCAAACAAGTCCGATATTTCAGGCTTTTTCTTATTCATTAGAAACAAAGAATGCTGCTGCCAACTTTCTGTATCTCTACAAATGTGTGTAAGGGTTATTCATTATGCAGATGAACACTAACCATCTTGTAAACAAACCCAGCTATCACAAATTAGAAAACCCAGAGAAGAAAAAGATAGCAATCTGAGTTATATATGCAATTTACACCATACCCTGGTAAGTGTAGAGAAGGCAATGATAGGAGGTTATTTGGATAATGATCATCATTTAACATTACAGGGTGAATCTAAATTTTAAAATGGCAGTGTCCTCTAACCTACATTGGTCTTCCATACTCTAGTTTCTGGAAATCAGTTACTCTGTTTTAAAGTGGCTAATCCCTATTTTATGAAGACTGGAAGCTCACTGATTATCTGGTGTTTCATGCCATGAAAATGGAGCAGAATCACTTGAAAAACCTGTACCTAAAGAAGAAGCAATTCATCATTTTGGTCATGACAACTGAACAAGCAAGAGACAGAAGCAGATATTCTTGGAGACACATGGATTTTTCCATGAAACTTCAACTGATAAAAGAGAAACAAAGGGGAACTACGATTAAAAAATTAAAAGTGAACACTGAAGAAGATCATTTTGATTATTCTTAGGATACACTGTATTGGGAGGGAAAAAAAAAAAAAAGCTACACATTCTGGAGATGAAGCACCAGAACACTTATTGACCTTAGTTTTGAATATAGCATATCACTTGCCCTGCTAGCTGAAAGAACAATGCAAGGTACCAGCTATGGCCAGGGTAGGGACGAACCTTCCAATGTATGATGGTGTCTCCCAGGTAAGAGGCATTCTAAGTAGACTGAAAGTCTGGAATTCTGGGATTGGCATACAGAAGGTGGGTTCCTCCAAGGAGAAGAGGACCATCAAAAAGCGGGAAGAACCAAACAGGTGGGAAAAAAGAAGTCTTGACAACTACAGACATTGTCCATTAGAAGGAGGAGGGGAAAAAGAAAAGAAGAAGAAGAAGAAAAAAGAAGACATTATGGGTTGAATGACTCAGCCCCTATACTACGTGGTATCTCTACACTAAAATATGGCCCCAAAGTTAGTAGAGCAAGTTGGACATGCTGAAATGTCCTACCTTCCGAAAGACGAATGATTCTTCATTGTAAACTGGATTGAGACCATTGTTCATCACCATACGAGTTCGGAATTCCTTACGTATAGTGTCAGTGGGCAATCCATACATATCCACTTCTACATATGTTCCAATTTTCTTATCTGATAAGAATTGACCTGATATGACCTGTAGCAATACATATATAGGATGAGAGAGAGGTAAACTCTGTAATTGATGGTAGCAAAAGTAATCAGGATGTAAGAAATTCTCTTTATTTTTGGAAATTTTAATTATTTATAGAAATAATGAACTCATGCCTTATTAAATCAAATACTAGTCAAAAACTACCGTGTGCAAAAAACTGTCCTAGGCAGAGATTGTACCTTTGAGGACTGCCTTGAAAGAAAGAGGAAAATATTCATGTTATAACAAATAATTTTAAAACAGCTTTGTTGAGGTATAATTGATATATAACACCCTGTACATTTTAAAATTATACAATTAGATGAGTTTTGACATATGAGCACATCTGTGTAGATATCACCCAAGTAAGATAACAAACATTTCTGTCACTCTCAGATGTTTCTTTGTGCCCTTTTGTAATCCATTCCTCCTAGTATCCTCAGTCGGAGGCAGTCACCATAACTTAGTTGTCTTTTTAGAATTTTTCATTTACGTAACAAATGGAGGGAGCTTTGGTAGTGTAGTGCCTAAGGCACTTGACTGCTAACCAGAAGGCTGGCTATTCAAACCCACCAGCCACTCCTCGGAAGGAAGATGGGGCAAACTACTTCCGTAGTAATACTGCCTCAGAACCCAAGCAGGGGTTGCTATGAGTCGAGTCCAACTTGAGGGCACATAACAACAACAACAACATAACAAATGGAATCATATATTATATACTTTTTTTGGCCTGGTTTCTTTCATTCAAAATAGCTATTGATTTCACTAGTGGAAAAAAAGTATGTCATAAGAAAAAAAAGGGGAATATAAGTGAAAGTTGTGGGTAACTTGTGGATCTTGTAATATGTAACATTAAAAATTTTAAGTATGAGTCCTTAAGAATGTCCTAATGTCACTTTTAGTCACATTTATACTACTCTATGAAGAAGAGTTATTTGAAGAGTTCTGATGGTTAATTTACAGTATAATTTCCATATTAAATTTAATAAAGATCAGAACATGCTATCATTTACAGGGGGCCTTACCTGCACTGAACAAGTGGCTGCAATAACCCCATCAACAGGAGTTTCAGAGAAGGGATCGAATGTTCGATCTGGTCGCCTCATGAAATCTGGTTTGAGAAGGTACCTGGTGGGAAAAAAGTATAGGAAGAGCTTCTTTTTTTCCTGTTTTTATAAACTTCTCTCTCATTGGAGACATTGGATATTTCCAAGCCAGGATTTTAGGCAGAGGATTTTGAAGCACTGAACTAATGATTTCTAGCAATAGCTAGAAAAATTCTGCACCAGTAATGAGCAAATCTTTCAAAGTAGTTCCTTTAACAGTTCTAAAGGAAAGTAGAACTCCATTTTCTAAAATGATAGATTTGCTTTTAAAAGAAAAAAAAAAAAA